TTATTTCAAAATAGTGAACTTTCAAAATGTATCGCTTACGAAAAAGTGGTTTTCTGAAGATATCTTAACATAAACTGATATATTGATAAGTTTAAAAATTAAAACTTTTGAAAAAAGAGGCATTTCATAGAGAAAATTGACTTTTGTTGTGAAAAAAAAAAGTGGAGTTTAGAAATTCTGAAAACTGCGAATGAATTCAACAAAATTTTTAAATGTTTTTTCAGTCGCAGAATATTTGATTCAACAATAAATTTGATAGCTAAATAGTAGTCACACAAACTATAAAGTAAAAAATACTTTGTATTGAAATATATCATTATTATTTCATAAAATAATTTTTTATCATATACTTTAACTATTATGCTTGTTTTTAAAATGCTAAATGCTGCAATCTAAATATTTTTCGAGTTTTGTCTAAAACAATAGTATAAATTGTCCGAGAAAAACAAATCACATTTAATTGGGAAATACACTAGAATTTTAATATAATAAAAAAGTCAAACTTTTACTTGAAACTAAATTAACAACTATATTATAAAATTATATAAATTTTTAGAAAAATTTACCTCGTTGGTTCAGCAGCTACGCAGCCATGTAGATAAATGCTTGTTCCACATTCCAAGTTATCAGGCAATTTAACATTCAAAGGAAATCTCTGAAATTGGAAGGAAAAAAATTTTAATATTTTTATAAAAAAAAATTGCCATCATTTTAAATTCAATATTAATAAAGCAGATTTTCCATTGCCAATAACTTAATCAAACTCATATATTATAAATTGAAAATCTATTATATATATTATGAAATAACATTCCATTTTATGACACCTGACATTTTATTAAAAAAAAAAAAAAAAAGTTAAAGTAGGATTTATAAAAATTAAATTTAAAAACAATATTTAGAATACTGAATCTATAATATAAGAAGTGTTACAGTATCATGCCAAAATAGTTTCAACTTGGCCATGAAACATCTTCTTTTGAAATATTTATATTTCCTTTTTGCACTTAAATAATAAGCTTAATTATTTTCAATTATTTGTCACTTAAAAATAAGCTGTTCTAATACTATATGCATACCAGCTTCATTCTGCTAGTTCAACAAAATATTTCACAACAGAAACTGAAAAAAAAATACTATTCAAAATACTGAATATAAAATATATTCAAAATACTGAATATAAAATATATTCAAAATACTGAATATTTGTCAAAATTGAATATAAAAAAATATTCAAAATACTGATTTCCATAAAAATATCTTTGAGAAGTGATATGATTATTTATTTTAATAGTTTGTTTCTTATCCCACTTGGTTGACAGCAACATCTAGACCAAGTCCATGAAGCGATGTAGTCTCATGGTAGGAGGAAAGGGGGTGGGGCAGCTTCTGTTGTGATGGAGCACATGTTGGAAGATTCGTTTGATTTGGTTTGGTTTATCGCTTTACGGTCATTTTGTGTACGCTTTAGGCTAAGCAGACCGGCATACGTAGGCAGAAGTCTGACTTGACTCCGTGGCGCTGAAGAAGGTAGTAGCTTCCAGGGGACTTGTAGGTTTTGGTTTGTCGTTCTACGGTCATTTTGTGCACACTTTGGACTAATTAGACCTGGTAATTGGACACCTACTGTTTAACGTGGATTCCGAACCACTAACAAACATCCATGTCATCCATTTCGAACCTGAAGCCTGAGCGACTTTTAAGGCAGAATTATCCATTATTTGCACATCTATGGAAAAGAACTCGTAAAACTCCCGTCAGGTAGTCTGAGTAAAGAGGCAAGATGCTGCACATCACAAACGCCATCGAGTCTCGAAACAGTGTCTACAACAATGCCGTCAACATATTGAAACCCCCCGCCATTCACGCCAGGGGCGCGAGGTTGCCACTGAGCCACGAATAGGGCTGACAATTTATTATGGTTACGGCTTAAAAATACTTCAATATAAAATATCAAGCAATAATTTTAATGTTATTCAGTACATTTCGAGAAATTAGAAACGCATGTGTGAATCTTATTGTTTGACGCGGAAAGAAAAGTTAATTCATAATAGGAATGTTCCCATGTAGATAAGTCATTACGTACTTAAAATATTTAAAATCATATTTTTGCATTAATAATTAATAATATTTTAATAATATTAATTGAGTAATATTTTTAATCAAAATGCATGATGTCGAAAAGATTTGAAATATTAAATATATTGTTTTACACCTAAAAATTAATAACACTCCTTTACAATTAAAACGAAAAAAACCTGTAGAATATTTTTTAATAGGAATCAACAAAAAAGAATTTAATAATATTAATAAATCGTGGTCAGAAGTGAATTTTTACATAAAGAAAACGATTCGAAATAAAAAAAAATTGTTTGGAAACAAACTAATAAGAAAAACACATTTAGCATTCGCCAGTTAAAGCTATCTTTTTATATACAACATATTTTAAAACTATATTTAGATACATATTTAAAAACAGTAAAATAAATTATGTAGTTATTACGGATCGCTTTATGTTATAAAAATATTTTTGAATAAATAAGATCTTTAAAAATCAAAATTGCCTTAAACATTCGCATATTTTATTTAATAATTACAAGATATAATTACAAGTAATATAATAAAAGATTATTTAATAATTACAAATAAAATATAATCAACAGGTGAAATAACTTTTGCAGATTATTTCATTTTTTTTTTTTTTTATTGTTAGAATATCATTAACTTTATACGATGTGTCTTAAGTATATACATTTTTTCATTTTAAATGTGCTTTTCCAAATTTTTTAATTACCGATATAACATTAAATGAAAACAAATATCTTGAAACCTTTTTTCATTTAGTGTCACGTATTGACCTTTGGCTTAAACCCATTATGTATCAAAACCACAATGAGCAATAAAAATTTTTTTTTTTTTAATGGTTTATTCTCTAATTTCCGCCTTCGACGCAAAACAATGAAGAAACGATAGATCCATAAAAGGTGGCCTTTTTGTTACGTTTCAGAAAAACTTACTCTACAAAACAGAAAGGCATTAAGTCTTATAATGGGGAAAAAATACAATGAACTTAAAAAAAAAAAAAAGGATAAAAGGAGGACAGGAAAAAAAAAAAAAAACGAATAACCCAATAAAAAGCTATAAGGGCGTGTAGAGATCCTATTATATTAAACATAATTTGAAAAATAGTAGCAATTTATTCACCAATTGGCTAGCGCTCTGGCCTTTGGTACCACAGATTTCAGGTTGTGAATCCTGGCAACGGTTATCGATTCAGAATCCACATTAAACTGTAGGTCCCGGTGTAATTAGCCCAAAGTGTGCAAAAAAAAAAAAAAAAAAAAAAAAATAGAGCAACAAACTAAACCAATCTTCATTATCGCAACAACCTCATGAGTGGGGCCAAGGCTGTCTGCTTGTTGGCAGATTTCTAGACCGGAGATGCTTTTTTTTCTTACGAGGTAGGGTTGTCAGCCCTACGCACAACGCCAGTTATATTATAACGGGACATACGGTTTAAAGGATTCCGAACCACTACTAACATCCATGACACTACCAGGTTTTGTTTTGTTTGTCGCTCTACAGTCATCTTCTGCGCACGAGGGCTTAACAGACCAGGACCTACAGTTTAAAGTGAATTCCGAACCGCTACAAACATCCATCGCCCCGCCGGGACTCGAACCCGAAACCTGTGGTACCGAGCTCCAGAGCGCTATTTCAGGCCCGACACCACCAGGGGAGTCAAACCTGAGGCCCGATTGCCAGAATCAGTTATTCGGCCATTAGGCCCCAGTAACAATAGTTTAAATTGTTAAAATTTCAAAATATGCTCTGTATCAAATCGGCTTAAACTATATTAAAATTAAATTTATATAAAAGTAATGCAACAAACAAAAATTAATAATAGGTGATTAGATCTAAATATTTAACGTCAGAGTTTACATTGGTTTCTCAGAAAAATAGTAAATTTGGAAAGAAAACTTAACATTAAAATTAATAACATAATTTGAAACCTGTTATTTTTTTAAATTAGGTATCAATATAACCATTTATCCATAACGTCAATTATATTGAATTTATAACTATTGATGTATAACTATTCATATGAAGTTCATGGACAAAATTCATTTAACTATTAATAGTTTATTAAGCATAAAAAATTTTGGAGTGTAATTTGACATGACATCTACTATCAAAAATCTATGGTATTTATAGCAATCTTTATATCAATCTACTCATAGCAATAAAATTTTCATCTGACAAGAATTTGTTACAGAATGCAATATTTCATTGTTGAGGAAAACAAAAAACCGGCTAAAGTCATTAAAAAAGCCGCCTAAAGATACACCTACCACACGTACAATCTTGTGAAGTTCAATAGAAATGGAACACGTGTGAATCCAAACCCATAAACGAAATGCGTCAAGAAAATCAATTTCCTTTTCAATAACTGCGGCTATAAAGTTTGAGGCGTAAAAATAAAATGTCTGCTGTGGTGGAAATTTATTGAGTTAGGATATAGAGTTAGGATATAGAGTAGAGTAAATATAGTATGTAGCGTTAGATATATAGAGTAAGGTTAATTTATATTTCATAGAGTTATGGAGAAATACAATCCATATTTCGGAAAAACATCGTCTTCCGAATTTTTATCATATATTTACGTTCTTGTATTTTCTTTTTTTAATTAATATTCTAAATAGAATAAAATAATCTTTATTCTTTAGACGATTTTTTTTGTTTAGCAAGAATTTCAAACGTGAAATTTTTTTATTTACGAGTAGTATACATTCTATAATATTTTGGTTAGTTACGTTGAACATTTTAAATGTTTGACAGATATATTATAAATTTTATTTGTTGTTGTGATTTCATCCTCAGTGTCCGGCAGCGAAGGACGGACACCTCATTAAAAGTAGTTTGGTTTGTCATTCTACGGTCATTTTCTGCACACTTTAGGCTAATAAGACCGGGAGCTACACTTAAACCACTAACACCCATGCCACCGCCAGGATTCGAACCTGAAGCCTGTGGTACCAAAGACCACAGCACTAGCCAATTGGCCATCAGCCCTCCCTCATGAGTAGAGGGGAAAGGGGGCAGCTTGTGTTGTGATGGAGCACCAGTAGGTAGAAGTCTGACTTGGCTCCGAGTCGCTGTAGAAAAAGGGCAATGTCTTTCCAGGAGGACTTTTTAGGGAGAACTAACCCACATTTGCGTATAGTATGGGAGAAAACCCGGAAAACTTCCATTAAGTAGTTGGGCTAACGAAGGAAGATGCTTAACACCACAAACACCATCGAATCCCTCCTTTTTGATCGTGTCTACATAAAAGTCTCAAAACCAAAAGTCAAATTTTCCCCCCCACGTTTCTTAAAGAAAACTTCTTAAAGAAAAACTCAAAATTTTTTTCCTCATTAATGGTCATAATGGCATTGTCATAGTTCATAGTTCACTTTTTTATATAACAGCGTAGATTTTATTCAAAATTAAAGTACGATTTATAGTTGTAAATAATGATATTGAAATGCATTAACCACATACAAATATTTATTTTCTTTCTGTAAAAATGTGAAGTTTTAAAATTCAGTTGACAAGAATTTATTAGCTCATTTTCCATAAGGTACAAATTATATTTATTCATGTCTTATTGTATAGATAAATATTTTACGTCTTTGTTTTTACTAATGGCACCCAAAATATTCATGGAATTGTATAAATACAGTTTAAACAGATGCTCAAAAATATTTTTATTTTGGAAAGTAAATGATCGGCATAGAAATTGACATAAAATAAACAGAACTGCTAACAGATGGCTATATCTACCTATCCATTAAAAAGTGATTAATATGGCATCTTTTAGACATGACATTTAAAAAGCATAAAAACATTTACAAAAGCATTTTATTGCTTAAATAAAAAAAATATTTGTTGATTGATTTTTGGATAGTTTTTAAATAAGTGAATCATTGTTGCTTAAAGGAAATTAAAAATAAAATACATTAGAAATTCATTCATTAAAAAAAAAAAATATATAATCAATAAAAATCGTATTTAATCAGAATATTACTCAATTCATAAAAATATAATAGCATTACTAAAAGAAATACAAAATTATTTTTTCAACTGAAATAGATTAAAGTGAAATATTTAAGTTTTAGTAATAATTAAAACTAATAGAATAAACAAATACGAGGAATGATTTCGATTAACTAATGTATATTTCTATTTAATTTCTCAAAATAAATTAAATCGTTTAATTTCATTCTGTGAAATATGGTGAAATTTCGAGTGAGTAAGCAGAAAAAATCGTCTGTTGTGTCGTTTTTGATTTGTGAGTTTAAAATACGTCACTTTAAGCGTCATTTATTTACTTTCCATCTCAAAAATATGTTTAGACACGTGTTTAAATTGAACTGAAATAGTTCTAGAGTGGAGGAAAAGCTAAAATAAATTGATAATTTTCAATCCTATCGATCCTAACTATAAATCAATCAATTTCCTGTTTAAATTATCTACAAATTATGGTACAACAGTTGTTTTTAAAAAATAGTTTATTTAAAAGTAAAGACTTAATTAAAAAAAAATTAGGACAACTATTTCAAAATCTTATTTTAAAAAGCTACCCACTATTGGCCGACTGATAATTAGTGACCATAATCCAAAGAATCGATTCCCGCAAGGGAATAATAATTTAATAAAATATGTAAACAAATGAAAAAAAAAATCATAAGTTAAAAAAAAATTTTGGAACAATGAAAAAAACCACAAGATGAATATTTTAATAAATTTCGCTTTCAAAAATTACGAAATATTTTTATTATAAACTAAAGAATAAAATTTTAGTTTATCATTTTTTTTTTCAAATATTTAAAACTAAATGCTTTATTAAGAATGTGACAGAATGGTTTGGATCGATGGTCAGAATACCAAAAATGACCTTTTAAGCTTTTCTTTTGATATGAACACACTAAAACGGGATAAAAATCTTGGCAGGTAATTTTCCCACTCAAGCCAGAAAGAAGAAATTGAATACACCAACGTAGTCTATCTTTTATAAAATGTTTCATTAGCTCAAGTGGGTTTATGGTAATGAACTCGTTTAAATAATCCAAAATACTCAGTAATTAATTAATGCCCTTTTAAATAAGCAGGATAAAAATTTTAAGAAAATGTCATTTCAATTTTTAAAAAATTTAAACGATTTTATTATTATTTAATAACGCAATAACATTGCAATCCATTAGGTTTTTTTAAAAACTATATAATTTATAAAAGAATTGTGATCAATTTTTTTTATAACGATCCAGGGCGACTTGGTAGTAGAGCGGCGGCTACCAAATTCACATTTCAGAAATGTTTAGTATATATATAATTCAGAAAGAATACTAGAAATAAACCAAAATAATGGAGCTTGCTTTGAAATATGATAAGTAAAACTGAAGGTACTATAAATTCGTAGGTTGGAAAGTCCTTACGAATAATAGTTACGATTCGCCAGATGACACTTAAAAGTATTTAATCAAAACTTGGAATAACAAAATATTAATGCTGTGTAGTATTAGCATTCGCTAGTGATACACCTAGTTAACACTGAATATCCTGCAGATCTACCGTGTTGTTGTTGTGACTAATCCTCAGCATCCGGTAGAGCAGGATGCTGAGGATGATTAGACCCCATGAAGAATGAATAGACCCCACGAGTAGTCTATTCATGGATGGAGGAAAAGGGGGAGGCAGCTCCTGTTGTGATGGAGCATTCTTAGGTAGAAGTCAGGACTTGGCTTCGAGTGGCTGAAGGAGAAGGGCATTGCCTTCAGGGGTGACTTTTAGGGGCAAATGCATTATCCAGCATTTGCATATCGTATGGGAGAAAACTCGATAAACTTCCACTGGGTAGTTCGACTAATGAGGTAAGATGTTGAACATCACAAACGCCATCAAGTCATCTCGTCTTTTGAAACAGTCTACAACAAATCCGCCAGCGAATTGAACCTCAGCCCTAATGCTCACTAGCGGCGCACGGTGCCATTGAGCCACGTGTGGGGCAGATCTACCGTTCTAGTAAGGAATAACTGATTACAGCTTTATCAATTATTCAAAAAAGATGCCTGATGGCAAATTGGCTAGCACTGGCCTTTGATATCACAGGCTTCAAGATCGAATCCTGGTGGTGGCCTGGATATTTGTGAGTGATTCATATTCCACTTTAAGCTGTAGACCCCGGTCTAATTAGCCTAAAATGTGCACGAAATGGCCGTAGAATGACAAACTAACCAACCAAATATTAAAAATTCTGCTTTAATGTTGCAATGTAAATTAGAAGTTATAATTCAGTATTTATGGAAATGAATGGATATTTCTGAATGGTTGCAATGAAAATTAAAAACTACGACTCAGAAAAATTATCTAATGCTATACTACACATCAATTTTTGTGTACATATTGGGCGGCTACTCTTCCAAACTGATTATTTAACAAACTAATCACGAAGGCTATTAATAAATTTCTAGCACCCTGAATAATTTATTAATAATTCATCTATTACTCCGCATATGAAAATATCATCAACGCCATTTTTCGGACAATTTCCTTTAAGAGAATCAAATTCATAAACCATCAAATACATACGATTAAAACTCCAAGCACTTTTAATTAACCTTCGAAATCGTGAAAATTTCCATGCGTAAACAAAGAAATTACACGCATAATCAATATCTTCAAATTGTTGACTTCGTGAACCCAAGAAGTCTTAATTACATGTTAGAACAAACACATTAGCTTCATTATGAAATTCCCCATATAGCCCTGGGTGATAAAATGGGCCATAATTGATTTTCATGGCGCAAAAGCTGTAAAATATATTTTGCTTGATAACGAAGATGCACACTATTCTTGTTTCATTCGTACAACACAGATGGTACTTAAAAGTCCTATGACACGATACCGTGATTTTAACAGGTGTCTTATGCATCATTCGCGCATTTTTTGACAAGCGAAAGGTAGATGGGTATCGGATATCACGTTCATTATTCCACAGCTGTCTCATTGAATAGATGCACGCTATTGCGTCTTATTTGATAACAAAAAAATAAACAAAATACGCAACAAGTATCACGGAAATACGCCAACCAAAATGCAAGGTATACAAATTTTATAGCACGCTTATTTATATTTTTATTAGTTGCAGAATTTTGTATGGCGCCTGATGGCCGAGTGACTAGCGTCGGTGTCATGGGTTTCAATATCGAGTCTGGGCGGTGTTATGGATGTGTGTATTGATTTAGAATCCACAGGTCTCGGTTTCATATGACAACAGAACGTTGAGCGTAGAACTGACAACCCTACCCAGTAAAAAAGGAAACTTCGCTTTTTTCCGAAATCTGCCAGTAGGCAGACGGCCTTGGCCCATAATGAGGTTGTTGCGCCAATGAAGAAGAATTTTGTGTAGTAAAGGATAAAGGGTCTGATGGCCAAGTGACTAGTGCTTTGGCGCTCGGTGCCACAGGATTTAATATCGAGTCCCGGTTGTACCATGAATGTTTGTAGTGGTTCGGAATCCACTTTAAACAGTTTTTTTTTTTTTTTTTTTGTAATACGACTGTAGAGCGTTGTACGTAGTGCTGACAATCCTACTCAGTAAAAAAAGAAATACATTCTGTCTCGATATCTGCTAGTAAGTAGATGGTCATTGGTCCACCACGGGAGTGATACGACAATGAAGAAGAAAGAACATATTGCATGTCTTAACCTTGTTTCTGAGCATTACCTGATTTCTGAGCCTAATATATTCTAACATAGAAATGATTTATTAATTCTCTTACTAACGAAACGGACATGACGCAAATTATGTTATATCGTGGTTTGGTTTGTCGCTCTACGGTCATCTTATGCACTCTTTTGGGCTAAACAGACCGGGACCTGCAGTTATGTTATATCGTGAGATAATGTTATGTTTATGTTATATCGTGTCGGTTTTTTCTTACACGCTGAAATGCGCTAACATTATTACTTAGTACTTTATGATGAAATATTACAAAGTAGTAACCATAATAATTATTATGCCAACTT